CCCCCCCCCCCCCATTTTTACACATTTTATGTAATTTATTCCTTTACTGGCAAAACAGAATTTTCAGCAGCCATTACTCCAGTCTTCCGCATCACATTCTATGCTGATCTGCTGCTCCAGAAACATTTTTTTATTATTATAAACGTTCAAAATATAGTTCAGGATTTATTTCAGGATTCTTTGATGAATAGAAAGTTCAAATAACAGCAATTCTTTGAATTAGAAATCTTTTGTAATATTATACATTTCTTTACTGACAATATGGATCAGTTTAATTCATCTTTGCTAAATAAAAGTATTAAATTTTTCAAATAAAAAATCTGACTGACCCACAGTTTTGAACTGTAGTGTATATATATTAAGTACAAACTGGTGACATTTAAAACAAAATTGTTTGTTTGTAAGGTCTTTAAAACCTTTCATTTTAACTCTTATTTAGTAACTTATTTAATGTATTACATTTATTTAAACTTTGGAAATTTAATTTATGCATTTAGCTGACGCTTTAGCGACTTACAGTGCATTCAGGCTATACATTTTTTACCAGTTCCCAGGGAACACACATACTGGTAAAAAAAAATGTATAGCCTGAATGCACTGTAAGTCGCTTTGGATAAAAGCGTCTGCTTAAATGCATAAATGTAAATGTAAATGTATTAAGAATAAGTTCTGCATACTTTTTACCTCCATTCAAATTCATTTGAGATTCAGAAACTAAATTGGAATTTTAAAAGCCTTCTCAATTAAATTCTGAATGGTGTACAACCCTGCCAGACATATGCTACAAAAAATAACGTTTGTATATGTCACCTGTGGCTATGTGTGTGTGTGTGTGTGTGCTATAGGCGCAGCTAGAATTGGACTCTGTGATTGTTGAGCATAGGCAGTTACTCCAGCAATGGAACAGCAGCCTGTTAATGATGAGGAGGAGGGATGAGGCTTACACTGCCATGCAGGAGGAACTGAGGTGAACACAATGCTCAAGATTGCTGTGTGTGTATGATCCAAATAACAGTATTGATTTGTGCTGATGGTCCCTCCTCCAGGTTGGCCAATGATCAGGTGCGCTCTCTGGACACAGAGATTGAGGGCTACAAAAAGTCCATCACACAGGAAGAAGAGCAGAATGAGCGTCTCACTCTGCGTCTGAACCGGGCCCAAAATGACTGCACCACCTCACGTAAACTTATCGCACATTCCCAGAACCATCAGGAGGTCTTGCAGGCCCAGTATAGCACATATATACGAATGTTGCAGGAGACAGAAAAGACCCTCAGCACACTGCGTGAGGTACTTCATTCATATCAACCTACAGCTCAAATATTTCTCAAGACTGATGTTTGCAGGTTAATGAGCACTGGTCAAAAGCTTTTGTCTTTCTTAAAAGAAATGTTATGTCTATATCTCTTTTTTTAGGACCACAAGGTGCTTCAGTCTGAGCTCAAGGGTCTTAGAAAGCAGATGGAGAAAGAGTCTGCAGTGCGTGTGGATCTGGAAGACCAGATCATGAACAAGCTGCAAGAGCAACTTACTCACAATAATGCAGCAAAGTACTCACGTCGACTGACCGATAAAACTGCAGCGCACAGGAGAGAAAAGGTAGGATGCTGTCAGCTAACCCATAAATGTTCACCACTCATTTTCCTGTTTGACACTGTAAAACTGCTTTGACACAATCAGTATTGTATATAACGCTATATAAATAAAGGAGACCTGACTTGACCACTCAGCGAATTATTTGTCTTAATCATTATCTTTGGATTTTTAGGTGTAGTATGACCTGCATATGTTCAGTTCAAACTTGTGCATTTATGTAATTTCTCAGGAGGCTCAGTTAACTAAGTTAGAGAATGACATCAATGCAGTAATGCTGGAGGGGCAAGAGGCGGCGACACATCTGGATTCTCTGGCTGCATTTCAAGATGAGCTTGAACAAGAAATGAGCCAGCGTCACTTGCTCCTGTCTTCTCGCGAGGCAGAGATGGCTAAACAAGTCACTGATATTGAGCGAAGACAGGCCACAATCAGCATCTACAACAAGAAGATCAAGGATATTGTGTCCAGTACTGGGGTTAGAGCTCACATTTCACAATCACTACATGTTTTAATGTATGGATGTTTTGAATAAGACAGACATCTCTCCTCTCTGATGATGCTAATGATTAATTGCATTTTCAGGTTACTGTATTCAACTCTTATTTCAATTAATTGTAAAGTTACTGTAGATACTGTATATTACAACTTTCCAATGTTTGTGAGAGAGTAGCATGAAGACCTAGGTCCTCTGGAGATCCATGCAGCCACCCTGTCTAAGAAGCTGGAAGAAGTTGGTGCTGAGATTAAAGAGCAGCAGCAGTTGTGGCTCTGGCAGCAGGGGGAGCTAGTGAGATTCACTCAGGAAAAACAGGCCCACAGCTCTTCTGTACAGACCCTACAAACACAACTTACAATACTGCAACAGAGCAAGATCAGGAGAGAGAGTATGCACCACTTTTCACTAACATGTAGTGGTACATTTTATGTGTAATAATTTACTCTTTATCATGTTATTCCAAAACTGTATGTAAGATATTTCAAAGAATATTTAAACTGTTTTTGTCTAAGTCAGTGGGCTCCAAACACTGGACAAAACACTGGACCCCACTGGTTTCATTGTATGGAGAGAGAAAAGGCCGAGACATTTTAAATTTTTTCCCCTATATATCTTCATTTGTCAGAAGAAAGAAAGTAAAACAGGTTTGGAATGACATGAGAGTGAGTAAATAATGAGAACATTTTCATTTCCTGTTGAACTATACCTTAAGTACAATTAATATGGAAAACTCTTTTTGCCATTTGTACAAAGCGAACAAACAAACAAAGTACAAAGTAATAAAATGAGTCTGAGAAATAAATACATTATTGATATCATTCTCTGCATATGTGTGTGTTATCAGGTGAGATGGAGCAGGATCAGCGTGAGCAGGCAGATCTGGAAAAACAGATTAAAGCTCTCATGGCAGACATGGTCAAACTGAACTCCCTGCTCAGTAAGAACAGTGATCTGAATCAAGCCCTGCAGCAGAGCAACAGTCTGATGGAGACAGAGTTCAGACAGAGACTCAAGGTACAACACTACGTGCTGTGTAGCTTCATATTGTGAAAATCAGGGTTTGCCCTTATCCATTCTTTTTTTTTTTTGTATTCTTCTGTTTTTTACTCTTTCCATTTTGTCACCTGTACTGCGTTAGTTTCCAGAGCTCACAGCGTATAGTAAGAAATAACTAATGTTCCTTTGGGATTTCAGTCATTTACTGTATAACACAGGGCAGTTTTTCATCTTTTTAAAGTGTACTAGTAAATACACAAAAGATCAGTAGTAATGTAAATACAACACTATACTGCATTTCCTAATCAATAACACAAATAAAACTTGATAGAATATGTATCAATGAATATTCTAAAGGCTAAACAATTAATTATTTAGCTTCCCATTGTATTTTAGCAGTTATTTCAGCCATGTACACACTGCAGTTAAATTCGGTTGTCACTGCATCTGTGCTTAATCCTTTTCTATACATACAGTTCAGTAATTTACAGGAGTGATAACAGCATTCTACAACAGAATTAACTCAGGCACTAAACAAGTTGCTGTCACCAGCCCTGAAATCTCAAGTCTAGCCCAGGGCACAGCTTGCTGCTAATTGTGGTTTAGATGTAACAGGGTCCCTGCTGGTCCTTAAAATGTCTTAAATTTAATTTTAGAGGCTCAGCAAATATGCTATATAATTGCCGGATTAATGTATGTTTGATTGCTAATATTACTTATATTACTTATAAAAATATCGGATTGAACTGTTGGAAATCATGTTTCTCGTTCACAGCCGTGATGTTTGCTATATGGCAATCATCACAATTTCAGTGTTCCATACACACATGGAACAATTACTTAGGGGATTCACTTTAAATGTGGTTGACACTGATGAAACTTTCCGGTGTGTATGTGGCCTTCATGTATATTGATAATGCAGAGTGGAATTCTATGGCCCTCAAGGTCCATTGTCCTGCAGAGTTTGAATAGGGTTGAAGCTAAATTCTGCAGGACAGTGGACTTCAAAAGTTGAGAAACCCTGATCTAAACAGACATGTAATATTAGTCACATGACTTATTGTTTTATATTATATTATATTATTTGTATCTATCTTGTGTGTGTAGGAGGCCGAGAGGGATTCGGTTGAAACTCAGTTGAAGCTGGAGAGGTTAAATGAAGAGAAAGAGAGACTTATAAACAGCCTAGTGGAGGCAGAGTGAGTTCATGACACTTCGCACACACACACACACACACACACACACTTTAAGGTTCCATTTGTTAGCATTAGTTAACTACATTAGGTAACATGAACTAACAAAAAAAATACAGCCAGTGTTTCCCATATATTGATTTATTTGTTGCGGCCCGCCACAATAGATTTTCCAAAAGGCTTTGACTTCGTTGAATAAACATGAGCACTGCACGTTTCAAAATCAAAACGCGGCACAGGTGTTTTATATGAATGTATCTTTGAAGGGAACCGATTGTCTTCAGAAATGTTTTGATCTCATCTAATCTTTCCTTTAATGCCGTGTAAAGTAGCTTTTATGAGCACAGCGCTGCTTTGTTTACAGCTGTTACCGGGGAAACTGCTAGTTCTGCCACTCCAAAAGCGCCTCCTGTTGGCAGAGAGTTAAATTGCATTTTCAATAAGCCCGTCTGCTGATTTATATTTACATTATATACATATATATTGCCCCGGGGGAAGTGCCGCAACACATAGAGTGTAAGTCTGTGGGAAAAACAGCTCTGGAAAAAAAATTAAGAGACCATTTAAAAATTATCAGTTTCTCTGGTTTTACTATTTATAGGTATGTGTTTGGGTAAAATTTTTGTTTTATAAACTACTGACAATGTTTCTACCAAATTCCAAGTAAACATATTGTCATTAAGAGCATTTATTTGCAGAAAATATCAACTAGTCAAAATAACAAAAAAGATGCAATGTTTTCAGACCTCAAATAATTAATATTAATTTTTAAACATGTGTTGTTTAAAAATGAATAACAACACATATTTATGTTTATACTTATGTTTAAACTTAGGAAGAGTTCAGAAATCAATACATTTTCAATCACAGCTTTCATTGCATGCTCTCCACCAGTTGGGTGACTTTTATGCCAATCCTGGCGTAAAAATTCAAGCAGCTAGGTATCATCCTCTTGATCACATTCCAGAGGTTTTCAATGGGGTTCAGGTCTGGAGATTGGGCTGGCCATGACAGGGTCTTGATCTGGTGGTCCTCCATCCACACCTTGATTGACCTGGCTGTGTGGCATGGAGCATTGTCCTGCTGGAAAAACCAATCCTGGTTGGTTGAACCACCCCCCAGATCATCACCGATCCTCCACCAAATTTCACAGTGGGTTCGAGACACTGTGGCTTGTTGGCCTCTCCAGGTCTCCGTCTAACCATTAGATGCCCAGGTGTTGGGCAAAGCTGAAAATTGGGCTCATCAGATAAGGTCCAATCTTTATGGTCTTTTGCAAACCTCAACCTGGCTCTTCTTTGCTTCTCATTGATGATGGACTTTTTTCTAGCTTTGCATGACTTCAGCCCTGCCCCTAAGAGCCTGTTTCATCCTTGCCGTGCACTTCATACCAGCTGCTGTTTGCTATTCTATTTGTAGGTCACTTCATGTCCTCCTGTGGTTGTTGAGTGACATTGGAATGAGTTGGTGTTCATCCCGGTCAGTGGAGAGTCATTTTTACCCTCTGCCGATCTGTAGTTTTGTTGCCAATGTCTGCAGCTTGACCTTGTTCTTATGAACCACTGATTTTGAAATTTTAAGGATGGAAGAAACCTGATGCTCCCTGTATCCCTCTACCGGTAAAGCCAGAATTGAACCCCACGTTTCCTCACACTAACTTTTCCTTTCAACTCTTTTGGCATGGTCAATAGTTATTATTTGATTCCAATTACTTTTGAGGTACTACTAGCACTGTATTTGTCATCCAGCGGGTCCTATTTCAAGAGGATAGTGATGACCACAGCAGTGGTTTTTATACTTTTCCTCATTAAATAAGATTTGGTTAAGGTGATCACCTAATCAGTACTTCATTAAGCAGAATGAGTTGTGCCTGTGTAGGAATTCAACAGACACTGGAATGGAATGGCTGCCATACATGTAGAGTTTTCACTTGTTTCAGCTGTTGCCATCGGGCAGGCGTTACCGGTGCATTAAAACAAGGACTAGGAGATTTAAAGACAGTTTCTTTCCTAGAGCCATAAACATTATGAACTTCAATATGCATTGACCTCATATATATTCTCAATCTAAATGTTGGTCTTAGTCTAATACAACCCCACCCCCCACCCTCTTCACTTCGAATGCAAGACTTGGTGCAATACACTATTATTGTGCAATATAACTCTTTATTTTTTGTGGCGAATGTAAGTCTTAGTGCAATTCAACTTTTTAATGTTTTGCTTTATGTGTATTATGTGATATATGTTAAAGAGAAGCTATTCTAATTTAATTGTATGTGGTATAATGACATTAACAGGCATTCATTCATTCAGATGCTGATTTAAGAAAAATTTGGAGTGGTCTCTTAATTTTTTCCAGAGCTGTACTTCTAGCATTCATTAATCTTAGTTAATGTTAATTTCACCATTTACTAACAGATTATTAAAATCAAAAGTTGTATCTGTTAATGTTTTTTAATGGACTTGAGCTAACATAAATTAACAATGAACAGTTGTTAGTAACACTTTACAATAAGGTTCCATTAGTTAATTTTAGTTCATGTATTAACTAACATGAACAATGCATTTATTACAGTATTGAATAATCTTAGATAATGTTAGTTAATGAAAATACAGTCGTTCATTGTTAGTTCATGTTAATTCTCAGTGCATTAACTAATGTTAAGAAGTACAACTTTTGATTTTAATAATGCATTAGTAAATGTTGAAATTAATATTAGCTAAGATTAATAAGTGCTGCAGAAGTATTGTTCATGCTTAGTTCATTAACTAAAGTAGTTAACTAATTTTAACTAATGAACCTTATTGTAAAGTGTTACCCAGTTGTTGTTGTTGTTAACCACTCTAGTTGTTAAAAATAAAAAGCATTTAAAAAAACTGCTACTTAATGACATTATACTGTAACTCTTTACTACGGGAGAATAACTAATTTAGGTGATAGATTAGGTAACATTGTTTTATGGAATGAGGTTGAATCCCAGTCAGTTTCCATGTAATGCCAAAATCAACCCTTCTTTTGCGTATTTAAATGGATTTTTTGGTAACTTTGATAAATGATTGAATGCTCCTTTCTCCTGTCCTTTCTATTGTTGTTTAGTGATTTTTGCATTCTTTGGCTACATCAGTTAACAGTTTACTTCTGGTTGTTGTTCTAATGTCTTGCCATTGGATACAGTAAATTCTTGGTTCGAATAGCATAATTATGTTCAGCCACTCTCAGTCTCAGCTTCCATTTAGACCTTTATAAAAATGACCACATTCTAACTTATAAATCATGTACGAACAATTACAATTGTAACAGGACTTAATAGGATACACATTTATCAGAGAAAACATCAGTATTATTCTTGTGGTTTTCACCATATTATTACAATGATTGTAACCTCCACACCTGTTTATTGTAAAGTGCTTCCCAAATTCAAATTAAATGCCTATCTAGAGAACATTTTTGGGCATCATTGGTGATGAGTAAGCAGCTGACTCATATGCCTTTGGCCCAAGAATGCAGTTACGATCACTAGGTCACTAGTTTAGAGGTACAGCTATACATAAAGCCATAATGTATAGAATCAGTATAATAACAGGGCTAAAGAATCAACACTATATTGATGTTTCCACTGTTTTGTGTGTGTGTGTGAAGGCGTCAGATCATGCTGTGGGAGAAGAGAACTCAGCTGATGCGAGAGACTCGCTCTGCCATAGATTCAGACACTGGACAGGGAGACATACGAACCATGAGAGCAGAGATTCACCGCATGGAGGTGTGTGTATAACTTTGTATTTGTGAAAGTAACTTCTAAGTGTGGTTTCAATCTGAATGGATGTTAGGTACTGTATGTGTCCAGGTTCGTTATGCTCAACTGATGAAGCAGCAGGAGAGGTTGTTGAGAGACATGGAGTCAGTGGTGGCCAGACGTGAGACAATAGCTGTTCGGAGTGAGGCTCAGGCACGTTCTGACCATAAACAACCCACACACAATGACTATCACAACACTCTCCAGAGCCTCCGCAGAAAGATTCTCCAAGCAAAGAAGGTGTGTCTGTATCAAGGTTATTATAATTTAGACATTTTATATTAGTTTTTATTTTATTTAAAATATATAATTTATTTATTCATTTCGTTTATGATACTTTCCACTTTATACATAATTAATTTTACTACATTTCTACATTCAGTTTCCTTGTTCTACACTTACATTCTAGTAGAATTACTAACGTTAACAGTTTCTGGAAAAAAAATTCTGGGATACTTGAGTGTGATTGGTCAGTGGTGGCAATCAAAATATTACAAAATATTTTTGCATAACTGATAAACTATATAATTGACCATTGTCTCAGGCAACTGATTTTCTTTGTAGATGTATGCTAGCTTTGGGTTTTGAACTCAAATTAGTATTTACTATAATAATAAGTAACAATAATTTATGTAATAAATGGGATAATTTCAAGAAAAGTTTTGGATATTTTCGTGGATATTTTTAGTTATCTTTGAGCCATGAAAATTTAGTTTTGTTTAGTTTCTTTTGCTTTTTTTCTTAAAAATATTTTAGTTTATATATTTAATTGTAGTTAATTAAATGTTTTTTTTTTTTTTACTTTTTGTTTTTAGTTTTCAGTTTGGTTTTAGCTAAAGGGGTCATGAACTATCTTGTATATGATTTTGTACTGTTCTCTGATGTCCACTTATGATGTTATCAATATTTTTACATAAAAAAACATCACAATTTAGAAGTAATAGGCTTTAAAATTTTCTGTCATGTTTTGACCCCCCTCAATGAAATGCTCCGTTTGAATAGGTGTGGCGGATTGTAGACTCAGAAGTAAACACCCACTGGTATGATTGACTAACAGTTGTGCATGTTTGACAGCCTACATCCTTCATAGACATATGCTGCTGTGATTTAAGTCAAAAACGCATAAATACTGCATATCAAACAATCTGTAATAACAGGCAAAGCAATAGTGACCACGTAATAAAAACAGCACTCACACCTGTATGGTGCGATATTACTGTCGGATCCAATATAGTCAGCACAGCATCCTCTATTAGTTCAATCTCCTGTGCGAATTGCGCTTTGTTTGTAAACGATTCCATGGTAAAATGAAGTGAACAAAGGACCAAGTTCTTAGTGATACAGCCTGGATCTTCATTAAAAATAAAGTTCATCCATTCTTTTCTAATGTTGGTATCAGAAGGAAGACAATGCACAGATCATTTTTGGTTTCTGCATAGCATAGTCCTGTGTTTGCCTCTCTCATTATTTACTGTACACTACTGCATCGGTGGGCAGGGCTAAACAGGCAGTGATCTAGAAGCAGGTGTTGATCTTCTGCGGAGGTGGTGTTTGTTTAGCCACACTATTACGTCATAAAGTGGCACATTCCACAACCTGTTGTTTTGGCAGATTGGCTTCAATTTAAGCTGTTTTTAGACTAACGAGAAAGTTTTGAGTTCTGAAACTTACAGGATGTTTTTATTGTACAATGACCTCTTATATGTCAAAAGATCAAGGGAATTTTGATTTCTCATTTCATGACCCCTTCAATAATAATCACCTTGTGCATATGACCTGTTTCTTGTAGTTTTCATTGACAAAATGAATTTAGAGACTGTTTTATCTGTTATAAATAACTAGCTTTGCCTTGTTTACTATTTGTGTGTCCAGCAAGCAGAAGAATGTGATGGTGTTATAGCTCAACTTGAGGAGAGGCAGGGCTCTATGACCTCCAGCCTCCGAGACAAACGTATGCATCTCAATGACCTGCAGAATACCAGAGCGGTTCTCACCCAGGACCTCAGCACACTACAAGAAACCAAAGAGAGAGTCAGTGCATCCACCAACAGAATACATCACGCACTTGCATACTGGACATTCAGTGGTGCCTACTGAACCAGTTATATTATATTTAAATCAAGCTGTGTAGGGCGATTTTACTCCACATGCAAGTCACATCAGAGCAGCAAGTGTACTGTATGTTTGCATAGACTTTTATTTCCACAAGAACCACAATCGCAGGAAACAACATTTTGCACTCTTGAATGTTTATTCAATACAAACACTTGTTTAAGACATCAACACTAGTTGGCATGGTTTGCAAGGGGAATTTAGATGTACTGTAGGTTCTAACCATTTAAGTTTAATTTATGTTTCGTAACTCTGTGCCGATTATGTGGCATCACCAAAGGTTCTCTGCCCTTTTTTCCCCCAGAACTTGTCTCGTCTGCCCGTGCTGCAGGGTCGGGCGAAACACTTGCAGGCTGTTAAGGAGGGACAGTATGCTCCGGTGACCAGTGGAGACACGGCATTGGAGCTGGCTACACAGAAACAGGAAGAGCGATTGAAAATGGTTAGTGCAAAATCCACTGAATATTCTCTGATAAAGTAAATTAGGCAGAAATCCTTGGTACATCTCATGTTATATGGTCTAGCATGCAAAGCTAGTTGTAGACCCAAAATTCACTTAATGATTTTAATGATGTTAATAATGATGATGCAATGACTTCTAAATTAACCCTCAAACAAAACTGAATGCTATATAACTGAGAAGCTCACGGAAACCTTAAACATTTTGTGTTATTATCAGTAGCTGAAGTGGAACCAGTGTAGCAAAGTGGAGAAAAGCAGAAGCTAGTGATTTCACAAACCAATAAACAAGACTAATATTAAAGGGGTCATATGATGCGATTTCAAGTTTTCCTTTCTCTTTGGAGTGTTACAAGCTGATTGTGCATAGATAAGATCCCTGAAGTTGTGTGTGTGTGTGTGTGTGTGTGTGTGTGCGTGCGCAAGCGAGCGAGAGAGAGAGAGAGAGAGAGAGAGAGACACACATCAAAGTGGAGTCAGCTGTCTTAACCGTGGCTTGTGTACTGCAAACACATACCAGCTTCATCACTGTGTCTGTCAAGAGACTTTGTTCCCCTTTCAGGCTCTGTCTTTACATTTATTTTGAAAGATGAAGCTCGCGATTATGGAAAGGGGTGTAACATTTCCGCCGAGTGCTTGCGGTGTTCGGCCAATCACAATACACTGGGTCAGCTGGCCAATCAGAGCAGACTGCACTTGTCGGAAGGAGGGACTTTGTAGAAAACGAAGCGTTTGAGAGAGGCGGGGCATAGAGGACTTACAATAATGTACAGTATTTGAAAAATAATGTGTTTTTTGAACATTAAAGCATGTCAACATATTCTGTTACACCAAATACACAAAATAATGATCTTTAAAAAAAGCATCATATGACCCCTTTAATTCCTTTCTGCACTCTTATCTCAGATCAGCTCCATTCTCCAGCATTTGGCTGAAGAAGAGTACTCTCAGCATCACAGCGCCCTCCACAGGATCAACCTCACAATGGCAGAACACCTACACAGTGGATTTCAGGACAGCCAGTGACCACAGAAATATGTATTGCATAAAATAAAAGTAATGTATGTACATACATGTTTGGCAGTTGTTGGCCTGGTCAGTATGAGGTCTGTTTTATTATGACAAATGTAGAGAAGGTCAGAGATACGGATACTGAATGTCTGTTATTGTAAGCACCCTTTTATGAAACTTTTATGATGTCATTAGATATAGCGAAAAATCTTTTAAACTTACTTTACTGTATCAATGTACACAGTTGCAACTATATTCTCTATAAAGGCATTGTGATGGAGTGTCTTAAATTAATTCTTTTTAAAAGTTTTCTTTTAATAAATCAAATTCATAGCATACATAGAAATATACTAAGCTTTGATTTTTCACAAGGTAATTGGAAGATTTGTTTCATTTTTCTGTAACAGTGATGTGTGTAGCTACTTAACTATACTTTTAAGTACAGATTTGTCTCTAGAAATTAGCTATATCTGACAAAAACTACACTTAGGGACAACTACTTGACTACATTAGTTACTTTATATTACTTAATAACATTAATAAGTAATTAATGTGAATATAAGTCATTTTATTAAAACAACATACGTCAAGTGGCGATGTGAAATTCCATTTATGTGAACAATTGTGTACATGTGTATAATGACACTTGTACAGTGGAGTCTTCAGGCACATAATAGCACCACAAGTTTTATTAGACTCCTGCTCTAATACAGCAGGAGTCTTGTTTCAGTCATACACCTAACCCTTCATTCAGTTAATTTTTAATTTACTAGACTTTCCTTGCAAGATACTGCACATAGTCATACACTGAATAACCAAAGTTGCCATTTCAAAAACAAAAAACATACTCTGCTTAAAAGATTAGCTAAGAAGAACATCCTGGAGGGTTTATGCTGGTTAGTGATGGTCTACCAATCAACCAGACAAAGCGATGCAAAAATGTACAATAAATCAGATGGTCAACCAGGATGATCATTCTGGTAATCCTGGTAGAATAAGGTTGGTTAGCAAGTAAATAAGCCTAGAGGGAACATCAGCATCCAAAATACAACCTACAGTGGCCTCAAAAATTATTTGGTCATTTGACCTTCTGGTCCTCCTCAGTTGTAGAACACCTGAAATGAAGCTTTTTTTTTTTCTCAGTAAAATCGATGTAATATTTTTTCATTCAATAATATTATTAATAGTATTTTGAGAGAATTTATTATACTAATTAATATTTATAAAATAATTATGATCCACTAAAAATAATGCAATGTTTTAATTATTTTTAATGAATGCAGTATTTCAAGTTAAAATAGAGGCTAGGCCTTTAAAACCTGATTTTTAAGGCTATCTGGTGAAAGTAAAAAAGAAAAACATGTAATGCCATAGTGTAACTACTAGATAAGTGTATACTGTATAGCTCCCATAGAGACGCTTGTCAAGTCCTTAGTTGTTTTTATACATTATTACTTACTTTTATTAGATTGTGGATTTGAATATATATTGACAAAGATATTTTTTGTCAAGGATTTGATTTGATTTGAATTTTTTTGAAATGGTGATTTGAAGTGTCAGGGTTTGCATAATTAAAGTCAAAACTGAACATTGTGTTAGAAAAAGAACACACGGAAAGCATTTTCTTACTAATTAAATTTGATTCGAAATTGAATAAAAATGCAATCATTCAATCATAACACTTTATATTATAAACTTTTTGGAATTAATTAATTAAAAAGCTAGGTTTGCTTGTTTATGTTTATTTATTTATTTATTTTTGATCAAAATTGAATGAAGAACACCAGAGGGTTAAGCCATACTTAAAATCATTAATAAATTCTAATTAAAGTTATAAACAAATGATGCTAGACCTTTTTTCAGAAATAACAAAAACAAAAAAACAATTTTCGCAATTAATTTTGCCTGGTCAGATTATGATTTTAATGGAATTTTGAAGTTATATCTTCTAACTTTCAGAACGTATGCATGCCATTTCATATAATTGCTGAAATTTTGTTATGCATTTTTAATTGGTGTAAGTTTACGAACATTATTAAGAGCCACATAGTGCTGGTGACTAGTTAAGGTGAATATGTGTTGCTTTGAGTAAGGCTGTGAGTCAATCTCAAAATTAATTGATTCTTCAATATCTGAATCATTGGAATTCTAATCAGAACAGCCCCTGGCCGCGTTTAACATTATTGATTGAGGACCCAAAACAACTGATATTTTGATTAATTTTAGAGACTCGAATTACATTCATCAAATTGATTCGTTTAGATTCGTTCCAGTACCTGGTGGCGACCAGTGAGTGACTTTGAATCATTTAACGTTACGGATTTATTCAAAAACACTTGAATCGTACACAGCCGTAGCAGCGCTACCTCACAGATTTTAAAAGCATGGCAGCTAACGAACATATTTCACTAAACATGAAAATCGCAACTTTGGAACAAGAGGAAGAGGATCAGTTGAGCATCATCATTAAAGGCAATAAAAAAGGTGTAGACAAAGTACTCGTTTTAAACAATGCTTCATTGCAGAGACCACTGAGGCTTTTCCAAGATATAGCCTATTGTGTGCTGTCACGAATTCGGTCCATGGACTTCCGTTTATTCACCACCAGAGGTCACCCTTTCCATTACATTGACTCTCGCACAACACAAACTGTTGCATAGCACCCCGGACTACATATCCCATCATTCTTTGCATGATTTGAACACTGCACTGATTGCACTCATTGCACACAGCTGTTTCTAATCACCTCACTCACTATATAACACCCACTCTAACCACCTTTCTCTGCTGAGTATTGTTTAGCCTGTACCCCTTTCTGAGTCTCCGTGGTTTCCTTGTTTTGCCTTGCCTGTTTTTGCGGTTTCTGATCTTTGCCTGTTTTCCTGGATTTCTCCCTCTCGTCTCGCCCCTGTGATTCTGTCTGCCGATCGGTGACCTACGCTAGCCCTAGGACTATTCTTGTGTTTTTGCCCGCCAGATACCTGTTTGCCATTGTTCGACCCTGCCTGTTATACCATGTCTCTTGAATAAAAGCTTGCAGATGGATCCACACGTCTCACGTCTCGTCAGCCCCGTTACTTGTGCTTAGCGCTTACTAAGTATAAGCATGTATTTATTTCAGTAGGAAATGTTAGTATGACTCGTCATTGATTCTAATCAAAGAAGTGTAAATTACTTCATATTTGCCGTCATTATCCACTGGAACTCTATTTGTCATAATCAACAAGCTGCGTGTCGTAGTTTGACGTAGATAATTGCATAGGTATTTGGGTTTGTTTGTTTGGGCTTCTTGGGTAAACCATATATGTATTTATTACTGTATGTTAAAGAGCAGAAACTCAAAGAATGTGGATGCATGTGCGTTTCTTCTTAATGCTGGAATGTTGCACACGTCACTATGTCATTGTGCTAAACCAGTTTGGGAGTTTTATCTAGTAATTTGTTGTTCCTTTTTTTTTTGACAGACAGTTTGACAGTAAAAAATAAATAATAATTTAAATAAATACATAAAATAAAAAAATTAATAATAAAAATAAATAAAATAAATTCTCCGGCACATTCATTTGATAGTGAAACGCCAGAAGAAAGTCACTTACAGACTGTTGTCATAAAAGTGACATAAGCAGATTTTGCATTTCAACACCATCATACCTTAGAAAAGGCAGATCAGCAAAGGATGTAAATGCTGTGTTTGCATGTGACATGTCATTTCCCATAAACCTCAGAATCCCTCTTTCATTTCCCTTTTTCCTGCTGGACTTTGTACCTGTTCACAGCTTTATTCATTTGTTTTAGATAGGAAGAACATGCTTGACTCACACTAGATGAGCGGATGGGAATGTGTTTTGGTAGATTCATTCATTGTGATTTGCTTTGTAAATAAAATATCTCTATTGCTTTAGTGAAAAATGGTAATCTGAGCAACACAACTATGTAATCTAATTCAACCAATTCCCTAGTGAAAATAAACAGTTCGTAATATCAGAGATCTTTAAGTATGTTTTATAAGGGGAAATCCACACCTGATCTGTGTGTGTGTTGTCGGGAAACCTCTCCTTGTCTTTCAGGTTTCCTCACACACCTGTGAAGAGGGTGGAGATTTATCTGAACTTCTCTTTACAATCTCACTGCTTCTCATTTCTCATTTCATCTCTGTTGTGTTTATGTCTGCACTGGACTTGTTTCTTTTTATTGTAGTTAGTTTTTTTTTTGTTACTTTTATAAAATCCTCTGTATTTATGTGTTTGGCAAATAGTCTGATTTAGGTAATTCAGCATGGCTGAGAGTGTCCTAAATACTCCGGACCTGAAGGATCTGGAGGAAGAAGAATTGTGGGATCTTATCAACGATAACCGCCATGCCATCTCTCTTGGTGTCCGTCCCTGTGTTCTCATCCCTTACCTGCGACAGGCACGGGTCCTCACAGACTTGGATGAGGATGAGATTCTCACCTGTCTCAATTTTACCAACCGCGGCATGAAGACAAGTAAGAAATATACCAGCGCATGGGAAAAGCAACACAAAGTATCGCTAATTTTTTCACGCTAAAAAGATTCAATTTTTAGCTTAAAAAGTTACTAAATACTAAAATATATTTAATGGAAATGGAAATGATGATATTTTTGTTCCTCCAGGATTGAAGATCTGTTTTGGGTTAGAGCGGTCAAAGTGAAAATGACCAGTTATTGGAATATTTGGGTGGTTTCTTTCAGAAAAGTGAGCAAGCTTACAGGACACATGGGGAAATATAGATTAGCTACAGATAGATAGGTCAGCTAGATCAAAGGTTATGCTGATAAAATTCCAAGAAGACCTTCCGTTTTTGAAAAGGCAAGAGCGAGAGAAATAGAAAGAGGAGCTTGTAAATTAAAGGAATAATTAGCCATAAATGAAAATTCATTATTGTCATTATTTATTTACCCATATGTTGTTCCAAACCTGCTGTATGTAATTTTTCAGTGTAATACAAAAGTAAACAATTCTTGCCATTCAATGTCATTTCATAGTGACCAACGCCTGCCACAGCTCCAAAAAGGACAAACCATTTCATAAAAGTAATTCAGAGACTATTTAAAAAATAAGTCATATGCTTTGTGTGATTAATATAATTTCTAGTTCAAAAATGGCTCATTGTGTTCAGTTACTACATATATAAGAAC